CCCTGTTTCAAGTATCCTGTTTAAATATAAGGTCACACGAATTCCAAGAACAATCTAATTGAGCTCAGTATAAAGTAAAAACAATTCTCCCCCCAATAATATCTCTTGATGCTGTCAGTTTGGACCTGAATGAAGAAAAAAGGCAAAACCGTTTTCCAGTTCAAGCATGTATTAGGGAGAGAGCAGCTTCCCAAGGTCTCAGACATGCTTCCCTAGCAGTTGATTTAATATGGGGTATGAAGTCAGAATTGTAAATGAATTCAATATTGTACGAAAGTTATGAATCCGCATGAACTCCTCAAGCTGCTCTGAGAGCCGGAGCCAACTGTATGGGCATTTCTGAGATACGATTTCAATAAAAACAGCTGTTTTGTCTCTAACTGGCCATTAAGTAGGAAACGCACCTTCCTATTTCTATTTGGTCATCTCAGTGGTCTATCCAGACTGAAAACTTGCTGTACATAGCAATCTCCCCACGGTCAGAGAAACTTCAACTTCAGCTATTAGCGCATAAGATATTAGGTGATTTCTCTTCCTTCTGTGATTTAAGAAAGTAATAAAGGGCCCCCCAGATCTGTCTGTTCTTGTCAGTAAAAGAGCAGCAGCTGTAAAAACAGCACCTTGGGCCTTTGATCATGCTAGTAAGCAGTTTAGTCAGTGACTAACAAAACCGCTCTCTCTGTGGCTGCTCCTCCGCAAACACCTGTGCAGTGTGCCCTGCAGGGTGCTAAGCAATAACTTTTCAACTGTGCCCGTCCTCCCATGGCATGGATTTCTAACACCATAATAAATAAATGCCGCCGAAAGCATAGCGAGTTCATAATTCATTTTGACCACTAAAATATTAGGAGAGAATTTGCTAGAGATGCTACATTTAATATCCACGAACTATGACCAAACGGTGCATAAATAATTGCATCCCAGGAATGATGAGCATGTTTTATTCTTGGCCTCCATTTGTTCCATCTATGTGATTTGACTAAGGCTTCACCATCTATAAGTGCAGAGAAACACTGACTCATAGACCCCACCACAGTGACAGACAGACTGGAAATCAGTACTATCCAATACCATGGCCACCAGCCAAATGAGCTGGCAAGTACTTAGATTCAGGACAGGATCTCTGGCAACTGGAGGTGGGGGTCAGTCTTTGGCAGGGACATCTATGGAGCTCTTGGAGGATGGGAGCTTACTATGGAGGTCAGATGAACAAATGGGCCAAGTAGAGAATGATGTCATGGGAAGGTGAGGAGGTGGAACACATGGGGTAGGTGGTAAAGCAGAAGACCACCATGGAGCGCTGCTCCCCAAACCAGTAATCCAGCAACGGGGTGAAGGGGTGAGGACTGTGGTTGGCTTTTGTTAGGGGCAAGCGGTGTGTGAAGCTAAAACCCTCTGCATCTACAAAAGCAGGCAACAGAGCAAGAGTAGACGCTAGCTCCTAAGGCACGAATCGGAATGTCTGTGGTCTTGATAGTGTAACTGTCACCCAAAGGCCAAAGGAAATCATAAGAGTTGTAAAATCGTATTTTTCTCTGGAAAGCCATAAGAATCCATAATGCTACAGAGAAGGTATTCTATTATTTCCTTTAATAAGAAATGTTATAAATTTATATTGCTCAGATTGCTTTGTCCAAAAAAAAGCCATATTCACAAATTTCTCTGCAATAGTTTCTCAGAGCTAACTTTAGGTTAGAAATTCCAAAATGCAAAAATTTCATTGCAAAATATACACTCTATATTTATATATAATCATACTAATCAAAAGTTAAACATGGCTGAAATAATAGCATTTTAACTGAATGCATATTGAGTAGCCTGCTTCATTTCACAGGTAAGAACAAAGAAGCCTTAAAAATATGAGACTTAACATAGTTTTCCCAACCATGGCCCAAACCTAGGTCCAAGCCATCTTACATTTTAAGCAAAAGACAAGCTGAAGAGATATACCAGCATATTTGGGGTTATGCTTTGTTTTAGAGAAACGGGAAAAATAGAACATTCACTTTTTATTGCCTTTCTTATGACACAAAATAATTATATATATTTGCCACGTAGAGTGTGCTGTTTCTTGAATACATCATATAGTGAACAAATAAGAATAATTAGCAAAATGAAAAATGCTAATAGCACGCCTCATTAGGGACAGTGAATTGAATCCCTTTATATCTCCCAATGCAGAAGGCATATCTTTATATTTTGTATTATACTTTCCCCTCACTTTTTTTCAAAAGTGCTTTGTTAGTATCCTGTACGCTAGAAAATCTGACCCAAACAGACAAGGTTTTTGTCATTTAGTGCCCATTTAAAAAATGTCAGACTTTGCACAGTAAACCTCCCTTATTACAAATAGAAAAAAGTGTGCGGACGGTGTAAAGAAAAAGCGGTGATCTTCCAGGACTTCGCTGTTGAATCCATCAATGTATACAAATACTGCTGTCAAATTTTTAGGATTAGCTGTAGACAGCCGGTCCTACAAACCATCAAATCTTGACGATATGTTTGCTGATTAAAAAAAAAAAAAAAAAAAAAAAAAAAAAAAAAAAAAACAGGCCCAGTATTTCGCGTGAGTTGAAGGTATGGACTGTAAATTCAATACATGGGAAACCTGACAATGGTCTAGCCCACAAATGGCCAGCCTTGTGGTTGCTGTCGTAGGATCAGTAAGTGATTCGGGAAACCCTCGAAGATTAAAGGTCAGATCAGGCACCAAGTAGTCCACTCAGGCTGCGTGAGTCCGTTTCTGGAAGTAATAACAATTTCTCAAAATGAAGTCGTTTATATTTTTAGCTCGACGGTGTGCTGCGAGTGATTTCTTCAGAGCCGGGCTCCCTGGGGGCACTGTGCCAAGACCAGCTTTATTTGTTTTTCATTGGGCTTTTCATTATCATGCTGGTAGATACCGGGATCATTCCGCCTCCTCCGAGACGGCTGGCGTAGCTGAGGCATCGGCAAGACGCTCTGAGTAGGTGGAGTACTTCCGTTCAGTGAATGCCCGTCTTAGATCTCTAACTGTGGTGCCAGTCTCGGGGCTTTAATCTCCTAACAACAGCCAATTGGCCATGTATAACGCAGTCTGATATTAAACTGCATACATCCATCCATTCTGGCACTTAGAAGGAAGGGCATTAACCTCACGCTGCACCAATCTAGACCCCGCCCTCTCTCCTTTCTTATCTCAGAAAGGGCAGCTAGATCCATCTCTGGCCCCGCTTCGCATTGCTCTTCCTCCCACAGGTTTAGTCTCTAAATCTGCTTGATGGGTTCAATGGTTTTCTGCCTTCCATAGCTGTTACCTAAATCCACCCCCGTGTCACGTGAAAACAATCCTCCCAATGGCCTTCAGGACCCCAGGCTGCCTTTTGTAGCCCTTTCTAGCTCACTTCCTTTGCTTTGAGCATCTGTTAGTGCCGTTTTCCTCCATGACCAAGCATTCTATCACTTCTTTCACAAGTATCTTGTGTTAGACATTAATAGAATGGAGCTTGATTTATCCAGAAAAGGAAAAAAAGAACAGAAATACAAATTCTTGGACTTCCCATCAATTCCTCAAGTCTTTGATCTTTTATTCTTGTTTTAATGGAATGTAATTCCTGTGCTCGTTTAAGAACCACACTATGGTCATGTGATACGTGTGTAGGTAATAATCAAATATGTCAATTAACATCACTTCTTAAATCTTATGTGTTGGAAAATATTGAATTCCTCTAATAATTTTGGAATTTATAAAACTGTTACATAATATAGCTATTCTACTGTGTGATACAGCATTTTCATGAATTCCTCCATCTATCAATATCCCACCCCCACAGCCATTCCTCATAGTCTTACAATCTTTCCTGCTTTCCGGCTCCCAAAAGTGAGTGAGAACAAGTGGTTGCCTTATTCCAATTACAATGTGAGACTCTTCTATTTAAAGAATGGAGTTTAGGGACAAAATGAGCAATCTCTGGGTTTTCTGTTTTAAATATTGGTCAGGGGCTTCAAATAATCAGTCGCGATCTGAGACTTTTAAGAGTAGACTAGGCCTTGGAGAATGCATGGCCCCCAGCCTTTTCATCTTATAGGGAAGGAAACTGAGGCCCAGCCATAAAAGTCAAAATGATCTTTCTAAATTTATAGTTTCATCTATAAATTCTTTCCTAAGCCTGCTTTCCAAGCACAGCCAAAATGTACACAAACTATTACTATGCCACACAGTGTCTGTTTAGTCTAGCCTGGGCTTACTTTTCCATCCTTACATTTTTTTTTATTTTCTCTTTTATCCCCTGTATACATGTCTGTTTGGTTGGGTCTTTTGTCTTCCTCTGAGTTATTGCCTGTGGTTTCCTCTTTGTCCTTGTTTTGGGTCCTAAGCATACTTCAGACATTTGATGCTATATCATCTTCTCTATAACTATGCCCCCAGTGCTCTCGGGGTTCCCAAGCAAGCATCACGTGGTACCTATTTGCAGTATCCAAGTGGAAGGAATAACGGCAGTTGTTAACAGATATTTGCATCGCATTCATGGTTCCAGCCCCATATTTTAAGAATCTGACATTCGATATTTTAAAACGAATTATTTCTACTTTTAACCTGTCATGGCACATGTCAATTTTTCCATCAGCCCTCCTCACAAAATCTATTTTCAGATTAGCTTTAAAAGATAGATTGGTTCATTCACATCCTTCTGTAAGTCACTGATAACCCTGAATGACAAGCCTTCCTGGAAGCTCATGCACTTTTACAGAAACAGAGGGTGAAGTCGCAGGAATGACTCTTCAGTGCAGGAAATTTTAGTCATGAACATAAGTTGTGAGAGCTGTGTGTGAGGGAAGGTCGGTTCCCACAGCCTTCACATCAGCCTCACAGGTGACCACCTCCCTCACACTCCGAGGAGGAGGATGCTATTCTTATTTATATAATTCGGAGTACTTGTTGTTTTTACTTTATGTAAAGATACTATTTCACATGGTAGAAATGCTGAATTCATCATGGAACATTTCTGATTTGATTCCAGGGAAGCAATGTTATGGAAGATCAGGATTTGTTGGAAATTGGTATCCTTAATTCTGGACACAGACAGAGAATCCTACAGGCGATCCAGCTCCTTCCAAAGGTAAGGGATGCTTTACCAAGATTACCTTTGAATGATTCCCAGTGACTTACAGTCAAACATGGAGCAGTATTTACATGAACATACAGTGTTTCTACATGCTGCTGCAGCCTGTAAGAATGGTCTTAGGCCCCACTTTCATCAGACACAAAACACTGACAGAAGCTTCACTTGGGTTTAAACTGACCTTACAAGAATGTAATATTGGAAACACTGTGGAGCAGCAGAACAGATTCAGAATACTTCTGCTGTGAGTCCTAACTCACGTACAGTTACAGCTGAGGTCAAAGAAGATGGGATTCTTGTTGAATGAATACAGTAATATCCTTCACAGAAAAGCTTCATGAATAGGAGAAGATCTTACGTTAGCCATAAGTCTAACAGAATTAATATCTGGAATATATAAAGAACTAAAAAAAATCGAATGTCCCCAAGACCAAACAACCCAATCAATAGATAGGTTAATGAAACGGAGAGGTAGCTCTCAAGAGATGAATTAGAGATGCCAGCAAGTATGTTGAAAATGTCCAGCATCCTTAGTCGTTGTGCTGGATGGTTTTATGGTCAGTTGGCACAGGCTAGTCATGTGAGAGGAAGGAACCTCAATTAGGAAAACCAATCCTAACTAAGACAGTCTTCACGGAAACTCATAGTCAGACTAGCTCAAGATTTCATCTCGTCCCACTCTGGGTGGCTAGCATTAAGAAAATAAGCAACAACCAATGCTGGAGAAGATACAGGGAAAGAAAATATTCATGTACTGTTGGTAGAGATGTGAATTAGCCCTTCTACTGTTCCAAAGGTTCCTTCTAAAACTCCAAACAGAACTTTCATCACCTAGCTAGACACAGATGGGTGTGTGTCCGGAGAGCTCTTAGTAAGTATCCTACACAGATACCCGTGTACTGCAGCTATGGGGTCAGCCTAGGTATCCGTTAACATGTGAATTGATTTTATTTATTTGTTTGGTTGGTTGGTGATTTTTTGAGACTGGGTTTCTCTGTGTAACAGTCAGGGCTATCAAGGAACTCACTTTGTAGACCAGGCTGGCCTCAAACTCACAGAGATTCACCTGTCTCTGCCTCCCAAGTGCTGGGATTAAAGACATGTACCACCACCACCTGGTGTGAATCAATATTTTTGAAGAAGAGAAAGTGTTTTTTGTGTGTATACATATATATAATATGTGTGTATCTATACATATGAGAGGTTCACAAAAAAAGAGTAAAATTGTGTTATTATCTAGAGTATATATACAGCTGAAATCATCACATTAAGCCAAATAAGATATGGCATCTTTTCTTTGATTTTGGGGTCCTAGGATTCTTTATATCCACACATACACATGAGTGACATGAAAACAGAAAGAAGGGAAGAGAAGAGACTATCAGAGGAACAGTGGGAAGGGGGCTAAGGGTAGAGATGGGTATGGTCAAAATCCAGGATATACTTAAAGAATGTGTCTATATGAAAGCCAACACTATATGCAACGAATATACACTGATAAGAATATTGGGGCAGAGGAGCCTCATGCTCCATTAGAAGTTTTATTTCTTGTAGAAACGTCAAGACTGAGTGTCTGGAGTCGCTACAAGGGACTCTAATGATGCCTGATAACAGAAGGCGTCATCTGCAGATGTCCACAGTGTCCCATCCCATCGTGTATTTGCAGTTGATCAGTAGTTTTTCCAGTCTCCATGTGATCTGTCAACCGGGTATCATTTTTTACTGGAAGCTGTGTAACCTAGCAACGGAGTTGACCTTATGTTTCCAGAAAAGGTTTGAGAGGCGCTTAAAGGAAGTGGTAGGGTGTAAGTACCAGCCTTTCAAGGTAGTCGGATTTTAATTGGTGAGGGAAGGAAAAGGCACGTCAGGAGGCCAGAAGGAACCGTGTCATTACAGGTGTTACCTAGGCAATCACTTTCTGGAAGCATTTGGGAAATAATTAGGCATTTTAAAAGCCAGGGGGATCGGCACAACAGCGCAAATGTTCTTAATGCCTCGGAACTGTACGGTTAAAATATCTAAGTTGGTAAGTTTTACGTGTATTTACCACAATTTCCAAAATCATCGGAATAGAAGAAAATGCAAGGTGCTTAAAATAATTGAAAGGTGTGTGGCCCGCAGCCAGAGATAAAGCAGGAAGCATGGATTTCTTTCATTTCTTCAGGGCTAAGGAATTTGAATGTTTTGTAGGCACTGGGGAATGCCTATGACTAGAATCCTCTTTTCTGCTTAATTCTGGAGGCAATTTACCAGAGGAATTGAAGGAGAGAAAGTTGAAGCGGGGTCTGCCAGCTGGGAAAAGAGGAAGCGAGGCAAGATTGGAGCAGGTGAACTGGAACGGGGGCACCTACACCCATCGGCGTTTCCGGTGTCTTCTCCCTTTTTTCTCTCGTCCTGTCTAGGGAGGGTAGAGTTTTTCCTCAGACAGAGAGTAATGAATACTAATCATAGTGTCTAAGGAAGTGATATAATGAAATTTGCCCACTGACGGCGATCTGAGTTTCTGCGGACAGAAAGTTAACACATTAACAAATCGAGGAGAGCCGAGAGCTTAACCAAGGGAAAGAATGAAAGTTTCTCTAGACTTAATTCTCCAGTTATTCCCATGGGCACGTTATTCACCTCGCTCCTTAGAGTATTATTCCCTTAGCAAATGTCCTACGTGCCTTCTGCAAGGGCTTCTATAAAGCCATGGCTAACACCCAGGGTGGTCCCAGACCCGGAAACAGCTCGGTGCTCCACAGATCAGCGAACCTCCCACTCCACAGTGCTGCCATTATTTAAAGTTCGGTTCAGATGCTATCAGCTCCCTTCCTCTGAGAAACTTTGCCTAACCTGTGGCCATTTCTCACTACACCAGCAGTTAGAAATCTGATATCCACACCCACCCCCTTCAGGAAGCCTGCCAGCTCCACCCAGGACCCTTCACTGACCTGCATTCTCCCTCCTGATGGCTCTCTTGGTCTCTGCACATGGATTCTTCACAGTGTCTCCACCAACCCTTCTAAACTATGACTCCCGTCACATCACCCCACGCTGCACATGGCCAGTGCGGTTTTCTAAGTCTCCAGACTTAGAAGAAAGCCCTCACCTTGGTCTGCAAAACTCAGTAAGATCTGGCGCTTTCCTACCTCGTGGTCTTATTTATCATTCTCTCCTTCTTCGCTCTGGTTGGTGACTTTCTCTTTGTTATACGAAGGGACAAGTTCATGTCATCCTTCAGAGTCCCATCCATCACTAAGGCTTGAACTCTCAGACACCCACCCCACAGAGGTTTCCCCAGCCTGGCAGTTCCCCCTCTTGGCAGCTGTCATCCCTTTAAGGGCACCTGCTTTATTTTCCCCACAGCACCTGTGGTTACCTGAAGTTCTCTTGTTTCTTTGTTTCCCATCTTGCCGAGAGGTAGCCAGTCCCGTGCGTCCAGGGACCTTGACTCGTTTGCTCCTTTTTCTACAGTCAGCCCCTTGACAGTTTCTGGCACCAAGCAGCTACCTAGGTAGGAAATATTTGTGGATTGAGAACATACAGTAATCTCTCGTTTATTTGAGATTTTTATGTCCTTCTGCTTGCTTGTATCTGATGATACTGATGATAATTTCTCATGTGACATAAACATCCTAATAGGAGAGATCACTCAATGCCTTGAAATTTCCTCATACTTTATTCAATAATATGACCATTAAAAGAACGAATGAATGAGTGAATAAATGTTGCCTCTTATACCATTCAAATATTTTCAAGACTCAGAATGCCTCAATTTTAGGGTAATTCTGTAGTCATCCACATACAATTTCGTAAGAAACAACAACAACCAAAAGCCTTAACCTAGAATGATTTAGAGAATAAATCAAATGTTTGTTTTGAAGAAAGGATATTATTCCCATTGTGGAGAGCGACTTATTCCCATTGTAGAGAGCGACGCTAGGAAACAATGCAGAATTAAGCGGCACTCAAGAGGCTGTGGCGGAAGTGTCTACTGCATGCACACAAATGAGTAGAGAATGTATAAGAATAGGCAAATCCATCCTCCACAGCACAGCAGACAGCTACAATGCGGCAAACTGGTGCTTAGCCTTCGTAGGTAAAGGGCCCCATCTTCAGATGGCTAATAGTGTAACATTAGTGCTGGGACCGCCATCTGCATTCAGTGTGGCTTTGCCCTGCTAGAATAAGTAACAGAATGTCTCTCTTCGTCTTAGTCACACCGTTTTGGTCTTCAGAGTGTCTGTGCCCCTCGTCTGTCACGAGAAGCCTTCCATAATCGCCATCTGAGACACCTCTGTAACACACTGTATTTGGGAATTATTGAGGTTGCTCCCAAAAAGGGAAAAGACAGTCTTCAAAGTACAACCTTGATATGTTGGCTTGTTTCAAAGCATGGTTTACTTACGATCCTGTTGATTCGAATTTTAAAGAAAATAACTTCTTCGGCAAGATTTCGCCTGCAGTATGTCAGTTTTAATATACACCAGTGCAGAGGTCCTCAAGCCTACAAACCCAGTTGATATGTTCATGGAATAGAGTACGCAGTGTGTATTCTAGCCACACTCCTCTTCGGGAGAATGCTGGCATTGGGTCAACCCCTCCCCCCTTAATTCGCCTCTGTCTTTTGTGTTGTTCAACCTCCAGCAGTAAAGCATGCCTGTCAATTCTCACACATCACCCACTTCCTCCACCAGTCCCAAGTAAGGCTTTCGTCAAGCCTGGAAGTTTCCCAAAGCTTTTGAAGATCAAAACCTCATCCTCTTCCCTTTATGGGAAAAGAACCATGTCAAACCTCCGGGAGAAGTTCTGTTCTCTCTTAGACGCTAGACAGGTTGTACTTTTTCTGTCCCTTAGACACAGGGAAATTATCTGATCATTGATTTGCAGCATGTAATTTACCCTTTTCCGGGTAAGAACCCCATGGATAAATCTTTAATATGCTTTCCTTTTAAAGGGGCATAGGTGTCCGTGCCCTTCAATACCAGAGCTCCTAAAAGTCAGATACTCACAGG